TGATGAGAAACTATTCAAATCTTCCTGATCTTTCTGAATGATGGGTAAAGTTTCAACATCCGGAACTATGATTTAAAGGTTTCAAGCTCTCAAGCAAAAATCGTTTAAAATTTTGACAATTACTTTTTAAAGTCCAAAGCTAACAACAAGTGCATTACAGTGCTAAAATGTGCATGTAAAGGGCTACAATAAGCATAAGTGAGATAGAGTGGTATTATCAAAACGCATGACGTTGCACCCATTCAAAGTCTGCCCAGTTTTAAAAATTGACGAGACTTTTCATAAGCTGGTTGAAACTAGTTGCATCTAGATCCGCATCTGGATCCACATCCCATCCTGATCCGCATCTGGATCCACATCCCATCCTGATCCGTATCTGGATCCGGATAAATATTTTACTAAATGTTTTGGATCTTATGCACTGATTACAGTAGTTTCAAGAATTTTTTTTTTTCAAATTTTATTTTCTTTAGAAATTTCTTTCTATTTTCTTCTAAACTTTTATTTAGTAATCCTGACACTGATACACCAAATTAAAGTAGATTCCAGGTTAGATTGAAAATTTACCTTTTTTTAAAACTTCTATTGAGAAGAACAAACATGTTTTGAATTTCTTATCTGTAACCGGCATTGAGTCTTTAATCACCACAAATTCAAACTTTCTAATCCCTATATCTTTGCAACGTGAACTGGGAACTCTTGTATTGTGGATATCGATATTAATGATTCGTCTCAATCTTTTGTTAATCCTCAGATTAATTTAATCTTTATTAAATTTCCCCTCTGATGGTGGTGTAAACCTTTGATATTTCAAACTTATATTGTATGATCTAACAGAATTTATAGTTTAAAGTATCTAAGGACTACGATATAGGGATTAGAAAATTGGAGTTTGTGGCAAAAACTGAATTTCTTTACTTTAATCATACTTGTGCGAAAAAGTAAAACTAGAGGACCTACAAGGTCACAAATTCACACCAGTAATTTTACCTTTTCCTTCTGTCTGGTTGATTGCGCTCGAATTCTGAGTTTTCTTTGAAAAGTAAGACTAATACCAATCAACAGCGAATAGGCTGTTTAGTTTACCCTGAAATTACCCAAATAAGTGAACGGTCCCTTTAAAAATTCTGTAACTGTAAAAGAGTAAGAAGAAAAAACAAAGTGGAAATAAATTCCCAGATTTTTTGTTGAGAATAGTTAGTGTCTAAACTATACTTAGAAACACAGGGAAAGGAACATATTTTTAGATTAAATGAAAGTGTCCTTCCTCGGACCCCCCCCCCCTGTAAAAAAGCTTATCAAGTATGAAGGTGACCTTTTTATTAATACATATTACATATTGGATGTCAAGTATAACTATTTTTAAGGTAAATAATTGATATAATTTAATTAGAAATAGTATCAAAAAGAACATATTGCAAATTATACTTTTTCAAATCATGGATTTGTTGGGTTTTATTTCGTTTTAGATATTCATCTAGTCTCTATTCTCTAGTCTCTAGTCTCTAGTCTCAAGTCCCTAGTCCCTAGTCTCTATTCTCTATTCTCTATTCTCTAGTCTCTAGTCTCTAGTCTCTAGTCTCTGACCTCTAGTCTCTATTCTCTAGTCTCTAGTCCCTAGTCCCTAGTCCCTATTCTCTAGTCTCTAGTCTCTTTTCTCTAGTCTCTAGTCCCTAGTCGTCTCTGATCTCTAGTCTCTATTCTCTAGTCTCTGGTCTTTATAGTCTTTATTCTCTAGTCTCTGATCTCAGTTGATAAAGAATCAAGTTTGAAAGTTTGCTAAACTACTGTGGATCTGACAAGAAGTTAAGTTAATTAAGATGCTGGGTTGAAGACGGATTGTTACACAAATTGTTATCTCTCCCGCTAATCCAACCTCAACCTTCATTCTACAATAGAAAATTCTACAGTAAAAAATCTACAACAGAAAATTCTAGAATGAAAATTCTACAATAAAAAATTCTGCAATTAAAATCTATAATTGAATATTTAATATTTTAAAATCTTTTAAAGAAAATTCTTCGATGAAAATTTTACAATAGCAAATTCTGCAATAAAAATCTAAAAGAGAAAATTTTACAATAATAGAAACAATTCTACTATGGAAAATTTAACAAGAAAAAACTCTACAGTGTCAAATTCAATGCATCTCTAATTAGGTTGATGAGTACTTTTTTCCTCCGGGCTGAATTCAAAGAATTAATTTATGGAACATATAACTTAAAACATATGTAACTTTTAAGGCCATTCAAAACCATCCCATCCTTTCAGAAATAATTTTTCCCAAAATGAGGGATTTTTCAGAACGATACAGCCTGAGATATCGCTTAAAGATTTAATTCAACCTTGGAAGTGTTTTTTTCAGATTATCTTGTTGTCCATTCTATCAGATCAAACGTTTCAAAGTTAAAACAAGATACATAGATAAAATAAAAAATATTTTTTTCAAATGTTTCAAACATTTATTACACCTAGAAATTATAAAATATAAAATTGTATAAATAATCCGCCAAAGTCTTGATTTTACTTTTTCTTGCAAACATATCGAGCAATGTTCTGAAGATTCCTGAAATTTATGTTTATGAGTCAATCCAGGGAATAATAAACATTTTATTGGACTAGAAACACTTTATTGTCATTCTGGTGTAAGATACATTCTGAAAAACCATACTTTTATCAAAATTAAAAAACAAAGATGTTATATTTATAACTATTTTAATAATAGTAAAGGACATCTAAAAAGTTACTTCATGAAGTCTTTTTATTTCGATTTGCCCAATATACAGCAGCACACTGCTGAAAATGGACCATCAGGTTTCAAGTCAAAACACCTAAACTTTTTCTTCAGAACATATTTATATACAGTCTTATAATCTCAATTTTCAGAAAATGCATCAAGTGCATTCACATGTCTAAAATTAAACGTAATTTTCTGGTTTTTTGACGATATTTTTTCAACAGTATATGTCATGGTCTCCAAATTTTTTAATTTTTCTTTACACAGTCTTGAAACATATTGTAGCAAAAATCAAACTCCTAAGTCAACTTTCCGACTTTCAAAATACGACCCGAAAAGTTTTTTTGATGCCATTTTACTGATTTTACTTCAAAAAGACTTTTTTTTGACAGTAATTAGACAAAATTATACAGTTCGCTTCAGGCTTTGAATTTTTGCTAAAACATGTCTTATGAGTGTGAAGGAAAATGAACAAAATTTGGGGACCCTGCTATTAACTGTTCTAAAAATATCGCAAAAAACACAGAATAAGCTTGACTAATCCTTGAAACTACAGTTACGTTTGAGTTTAGACCTAAAAATGCACTTGATTTCTACAATTCCTCTAAAATAGATTTACTTAAAATTCCCTGGGTGACATTTTCTAAAAATTGATAATAAAACTCAGGAGACTGCATATGAACACATTCCAAAGAATTAGGTGTTTTGACTTAAAACCTGATGGTCCATTTTCAGCAGTGTGACGGCACAGTTCCCTTTGAACCTTTTTCAAATCAATAATGTAAATGGCTCTTTTTACATTTTTCTTAATTTTCTTGAAACCTCATTAGCATCTCAACAACTTAAGAGGTATACAATTTTCAAAAATAGGTATGCCTTGAAAAGATGGCTTACAATGACTTACAGGGTTAAGGACAAAAAATTCGACTTAGAGACGACTGTAAAGAATTTATACTGACTGTTTCCTTTTTTTCTTCCATGCAACTGCAAACTAATTCATTTCTTTGTTCAACCATTTCATAAGTAATGAAAAGATATGTTCTGAGCAGCATCGTCAAATTTTTGGAGTTTTAGATCGTCTTTACAGTCTCATCCTTTGTGGGTAACCCTGTCTCTCAACTCTAAATCCTGGAAGGGATTAAATTATACCTAGGAGTAGATGATGAACTAGTAACCATTACTAAAGGAGGATCACATGATCTATCACTGAGCATACACACTAACCAAACCAAACCATTCACACAATTTATTCTTTTGTAAATAGTACTTTTCTCTGGTGTACTTGTAGTGCATGCATTTTTCTCCCTAAGATTCCTACCCCCCCCCCCCACTAAATTTCTAACCATATTTCAAAGGTTTTTAGTCTATGAATAATCATAGAATTATTATTATGAATTTATTCTCTTCAAAAATTGTTAATTTAAAAAACATTCTGACATGATATTTAGATTATTCAAAAAATGAGTTAGCTCAAGAATTTTAAAAATGTTTCCATTTTTCCAAACATCGATATGGGTATCTCAACCTTGAACCAATGAATGTTGTCCATTTGTCGGGTTTTTAGAATTAGAAAATTGTTTAATCTAGGGACAAAAAAAAGTTTGTCTTTTGCCTTGAACTTGTTGATTTTTTTATTTTAACAATTTTGAATTCAGTGTTTTCAGACAGATTTTTTTTATACCCATGTCGACATGATTGAAAACAATATTTTTGTTTGCATTTGTGAATTAAATCTATATATAAATTTGACTTGTCTGTTTGTTTGTTTGTATCCAAGAAACGTCAAAACGGCTGAACCGATCGAGCCCAAATTTTTTGTGGGACATCTAGGGACTCCAGGGAAGGTTTATGAATGATCAAAATTTCAAATATTTGTCTCCATCAAAATTCGATCTTCATTAAATTTTTGAAAATTTTGAAAATCCACGAAATTTTTTGTGAAAATCCGCGAATTTTTTTTGTTTTGTTTTACGATGTACACAAAGAGAACATGTTCACAATTAATTTAGAAGATGGGCGCGAAGCGCCCTCTAAGGCTAGTTTTGCAAACACGTGATGTAAACTGAATAAATTGGAAAGTGAGAAAAAATGGATGCAAGACACCGCGGTATTTCGGTAGAGATTTATATGACGACAATCCTTGTTAATTAACTCATATTTAGTGGTCGATGTTTTAGAAACTAATGGAAACCATATTTTAATATTGTCAAAAAAGAGCTTAAATATTTGATTTTAATGTTTTATTTTACCATATATTTTTTGTTTAAAAAGACATCTTTTTAGGACAATTAATTTGTAAAACTTGTAAAAATGTAANAGCACGGTCTACGGCTAGTTGTTTATCCAGTCCTTCGTTCATGTACAGTGTACCAAAAACCTATGCAGTACAGTACAATTAAGGGATATCTTCAGCGGTTCCCACAAAAGATGAGACTTAGAGATGACTGTACGGAATTTAATTCAAATTTCTTTATACAAATTCTACTTGTGTGTCTGTCTGTTTGTTTCCATCCAGTAAACGTCAAACCAGCTCAACCAATAGGACCCACATTTTTGAGGCTGGACGAAAAATTTGAAATTTTTTCTGACATTTATTATTTTTGAAAATTCACAAAATGAAACAGAAAAATCCGCGAACATTTTTGTTTATTGAAGAATAATGGAAAACTAGCGACTAGAGGCAACAAACAAAAGCTAAAAATAAGGCAGAAGATCAAATTTAACAAATTATTTTTCATCTTTCTTTGTCATCAAAATCTCATTCTTTCTATATTTTATAAAATGAAATTATGAATTCCCTTTGATGCTTTAATGGCAGCTTTTAACATTTCTTAGAGGAAAACATATCTTTCACGATCTTTACAATTTGATTTTTTGTGATAAAAAGAAATATTACCTCAATCATTTCTCTGAGCTGAATTGTTTCTAAAAATAAATGACAGATCAAAAACAATCTCTTAATGAAGGGGAAGTTTCAATGCCAAGAAATATTAAAAATTATTGTTATTGTTCTAAACTTATTCATAATCCAACTAAAGCTTCTCACGAAACCATTAACAAAGTTTCAAAAATAAATAAATTTAACAAAGTTAACCCCCCCCCTTTCCCATCTCCCATATGACCCCTTTCTCATCCCCTATATACCCCCTCCCCACTCCAATTCGACCCATACAAACTCAAAGCTCGCCAATTTAGCCTTTACATTGGCATTGAAGGAGTTAATCTGAGATAGAAAGAAAAATGGGCTAGAAGTTAGGTCAGAGGTATTTATTTAAAAATTAAAATTATAATATTTTGATTGAAACCAGCTAGAGAGGATGTAAATTCAAAGATGGAGAAAGAACTAGATAAGCCTGCCTGCTTGTTTATACCAGTGGCTATATATCCACTAAAGTCAGTATAAGCATTTCTCCATTAAACCGATTTGGAATTCAAAACCAAACCAAACCAATTATCTTACTCGACTAAGAACCGGTTTTTGCGGTTTTTACCTGACGCATCCTTGTCGTACATTTGAAAGACCCAGTGTAATTTATCAGCTGGAGAAGAATTAGCCTTAAAAGATAACTTTGATTTTCTATTTTTAATCTTAGCATGAATAGTTATTTTTGTGATCAGCCTTGTTCTCTTGTCATGTTTTATAGTGCTAACTAACTTTAAACCATAATACTACCAATTATATATATTTATATCAATAATTTATCAACTTTCTTCTAAAAATACTTTGTTAATTGAACAATTAGTATTTGATACACATTACACACAATGCTAACGACCCAGCTATTTTTAAACAGGATTATCCACACAGGATGATACTGTAGAGACGACTGTATGAATTTACTATTTTTCCTTATTTTTATGATTCTCTGCAACAAAATGCCAAATGGTGGAAATTGCTTAAAAAGTCCGAAAATCTTTTTGATTTATAGAAAGGACGACATTCTATGGCTTCTTATTCAACCCAATTCAGGCGTTTGGTTTTTCGTATTCCAATGCCTACTCTTTATATTACAAAGCTCATTGCCTGAAACTGCAATCTTTCTTCTGTCTTTCACGAACAATATTTAAGCCATTAAAAGACTGCAGTTTAGGCAGAAGATTTAATTCAAACCTTAAATCGTTTCCGGTCTTTATTTGTGGGTAACCATGTAACAGGTCGATATATTAGGTACACATAATAATAAAACCATATCGACTGTGAAACTAGCTATTTTCAACGTGTGGCTTGAAGCAGAATTAATCTTGAGATAAAAACATCTCCGTCAATTTTAATGATTAATGATACAAAGTACATAAAAATTAGTAATCTTATATTGTCTGTTGTTTGTTTGTACATCCGATCAGAACACAAGAACCCCTTGACCGATTTGCCTCAAACCTAAGTTAGAAATGTATATTACCGTGCAGTAGGTTGCAATGATGAACTCATTGAAGTCAATCCAACCATTCCCGTCCTTGTCAAACTGGGAGAATATCAACCCCGTCACAGTGTTTGCGATATCCTGAAATAAATCCAAGGACTGTAAATTGGTTTGGGATATTAAAGAGACTGTTACCGTAATTTTATGTGACCCTCAATGTAAAGATGACAATGCCCGATTCACAATGAAACCATGAAAAGCTTCGTCTGATCAAGTTTGAATTATATATTAATGTTTATAATTTTAAATTTCATTTAAATTGTGGTTTCTCTACAAAAGTGACTACTACATGAAAACCTATTGGAATTATTATATATAAACACACTTAAAGTCATAAAATCTTCCTTATTATATTTTAGATAAAGGTTTCAAGGGTACCGTTCTGAATCTTTGCATGGAGGGTCACTTAAGATTACGCTTTCAGTCCCTTTAAGAATCAGGATTTTATATTTACTCTAGTTGCATGGCTAAAAGTATACAATGTATATTGAACCCCATGGTCGTAAAAGAACTCAGTTATCGGGACTTTTCTTTTCCTAACAATGTCGTTTTTGTTCAAGATTTTAAATTTATGGAAATAAAGATATCTGTGATATTTATGATTTACCAACAACGTCCACAAAAAGGTCTTGGATTCCATGATAGGGCTGTGCACGTTTGTACGTTTTATAACGGATAAGCCTATAAAGTATCGTTCGTTTCCGACTAATAATTTTAATATATTTTGTCCTGCCCTCTATTACCATCTATTAATGTGAGATTTATTTTCTCAAACTTTGAAAAATTCATTTTTTAGAGAAATTTAAACATAAAAATTTACGAAATTGTCGATCAGTTATTTTTACTTAACGGTCCTTTCCGTTCGTTTTTAACAAAATAACTTACAAAAATGTTCTCCACATAAACGGACTATATTCTGTTCATTTTCAAACACTTCCGATTGTTACCGGAACTATACCAGCTCTAGTCAAATTGTGAAGAAGCAAAGCATGTTCAGCTTAATTGTAAAAACTTAAGATCTCTAATTCAAATTTTTAATGTGCATTTGAGGTTTACAGCCCTAACAAATCCTTTATGATTTTAACTTGTTATTGGGGTAAATTTCAACTTTATACAGAAAAGGAATTGAGTTTTTTCCACAAACTCCAATTTTCTAATCCCTATGCATTATCAACCTTCATGATATGGTGTAAACATTTGATATTTCAAACTTAGACTATTAGATCTAACAGAAATTATAATTTGAAATATCAAAGGTCTACGACATCGGGTAGATAAAGGGATAAGAAAATTAGAGTTTGTGGAAAATATTCAGTTCCTTTGTATAAAAATTGAACTCCTTGTAACTATCCTGAATTGTGTGTAACTGTACCTTTGGCAGAATTGGTTCCAACATCTGCATAACCTGCACACGTTTATTTTACAGTTCTGGGTTTACAATTCAGGGGGAGATATACTCTATACCGTTCAGATACTAAACTCATACAGGGGGGGGGGGGCACTTCAAGCACACACTTGTTTTAATGCCCTACTTTTACATTAGGTTGAGTGTTTCCAAAAAAGGAATCAGTGAAAAATTATGCGAACAAATATTTGGTCAAGTAGCGTTGCACCAATCCGGTAATATTTTTTCTTATAAAGAAAATATTAAAAAGATTATGAATTATGTCGGCACAAATATGCAACGTGGATGAACTGGGATCAGATAATGCCCTGGTATGGAACGCCATTTTTTATAATATAGGTTTATTTGGCAGATTTTTTAGTTTGTTCTTGAATCTAAAGAATTACCACTCTGGGAAAAAGTAAATTTTCAAATTGTGTTAGAAAATTGAAAAAAATAGATAGAAAAGTAAAATTCCTTTTCTCGTGTTAGAATACCATCCGGGCAATCCTAAAATTAAATAAATTTTACAATATGGAGGATATAATAATCTAAACTATACTATCCACTTCCTGATTCTATCCTTTTCCGTCCTATCATTATCTATCATAAACAATCTACCTGCGGGGGGGATGTTGATAGATATCTACCTGCAGCCAGCAGCTATTTATATTTGTAGGAGATGGCCTATTATCTACAATACAAACATCAAATATGCAGTACAGTACAACTATAGAGGACATCTGTAATGAGTGTTTTTTATCTAAAATTTGACTTAGTTTTCTCGGAAAAATTATTTTCTGAAATCCCCCAAGCACTGTAAAATACAGATTGACCTTTGAAACAGGAGCACTCGGCCTATATATATTCTAAGGCCTATACAATTAGTAAAATTATTAAAGTACATTATCTATCCCATTTTTTCCCGTTCTATAATTACCTATCCTATTTCATCATATAATTTTCCGTCCTATTAATACTTATCCTATCCTAACCTATCCTGTCCTATTCTATCCTATCCTAACCTATCCTGTCCTATTCTATCCTTACCTATCCTGTCCTATTCTATCTTATCCTATCCTATCCTATCCTTTCCCAGGCTATCATATTCCTCCCTATCCTATCTTATCCAATCCTGACCATTCATATCCTATCCTGGCCTATCCTATCCTATCCTATTCAATCCCAACCTATTCTATCCTATTCCTACCAGCCCTCTCCAATTCTGTCATTGAAAGAACCAGGAAAAGATCAAAAAGAAAATTACTTGATCAATGTTGCAAAACAAATTTGACTAATAAATTGAATATCGGAGTTCTTGCTTTCTTAAGGGAATACAAGATACAGGGTACAGGATACTAAATAATGGAGTCAGGATAAAAATACAGGATAAAGGATACTAAATACTGGATTCAGGATACAAGATACAGGATACAGGATACTAAATAATGGAGTCAGGATAAAGATACAGGGTAAAGGATACTAAATACTGGATTCAGGATACAAGATACAGGATACTAAATACTGGATTCAGGATACAAGATACAGGATACAGGATACTAAATACTGGATTAAGTATACAAGATACATGATACAGGGCACAGAAACCTACCATGATGAACTCCCTGAACCACTCTCTGATCTCTGCCTCCTTGTAGTTTGTGTTCTTCAAGAGGTATCTAACGTCCTCGTCCCTTAGTACAGGCATTCGACGCTTTAGTCTATAGGAATATTACGCAGGTTAATTTTGTTTTTATTATAGTTCAAATTTTGATTTGCAATTATTATTCTAATTTGAAAATAACTATTTTGGTTGATAAAATCACAATAAAATTGGTAAGATCATGTCATTTAAATTATCAGCACTGTTTGTTAATAGTTTTTACCTTTTTGTCATCATGGCTGTTTTCCATTTTAGAGAAGCTTGTGCACAAAATACGAAAGATGAAAAGGTTTGAGCTGCAGGTTTCCTGGATAAAAATAATTTTTTATATTATTATTACTTTAATACAAAGATTCTTAATGTTGTAGTTTAGATTTGTCAAAAAATTTACAATTTAATACGCAAAAAAACATATCTTTTATTTGAGTAGTTCTTCAACATATAAATGGTTAATTTTTTGTATAAAACAGTTCTTGGAAAATCAAAACTTTCCATGCATGCTCCTACAACAGGTCACCAGAATTTTTCTATTGTTTCTTAATCTAATGTTTTACTCAATTCATATTTATAAAACAATTATTTGCGAAAGAAAATAAATTTCTGCCGAAAAGGGTGTCAAATCAGTTTTACATAACCTGGCAAGAAATATAATTGCAGAACTTATAACTTATTTCAATAGTCCTTCTAGAAAGAAACATATCTACTACACGTCCTACTGGTTTAAGTTTGAATATCCGAGCTGGGCCAATCTTTGCAGTCCTACTTCGGACTGTACCGCCAATTTACAATCTTTGCAGTCCTACTTCGGACTGTACCGCCAATTTACAATCTTTGCAGTCCTACTTCGGACTGTACCGCCAATTTTTACAATTACTAAAGGGGCAGAGGAGTGTGACTAGCGAACATAGTTTTTACATGTTAACTTTTAAACTATTATATTATAACTGTATAATGGGTACCCTTCAATATTATTTTACACTAGGTAGGTTTAAACACTGGCCTTCATGGGATTATTTTAGCTTTAAATGCTTATTAAATTACAACCATGCTCTTTTGTTGTAAACAGTATAAAAACAACTTTAAGAAATTTAGCGGATTTTTTGTTTGTTTTCAATGGTGGATTCGAAATCGAAACTTGCATTGCATATAAAGCACAGTTGCTGTCATTGAGAATAAATAATTGGAATGAAAAAGATTGTATTTTCTGGTTTCCGCATCAGATCAAAGAGAAAAATATTTAATATTCTGTTAGAAAAACTATTGAGTTTCTTTGTCCCAATATGATTTATGAAAAAAGAAGGAGCAAAGATTCCAATAAACAAAAAGAATAACAAAGCAAACTTTTATTAGTTTGGAACACAGACAATATATTTAGATAGGACAACTAATATAGTACACAGACAATTTATTTAGATAGGACAACAAATATAATACTGTTAAAACAAATTCGAAATATAAGGAAGACGATTTTTCCGACTCAAATGCCGACGTTAATTCTCTAAATGTGTGTGTACACAGGAAGCAAGCACACCACATGTGTCAAATCCCCGCTCACCTTAGCTCCCGCTTTACCCGGAAAGATTGATGATCTGCATCACCATCATGCAGCTCTACAAACACCTTCTAACTGATATTCGTCTATAGTTTCTTTATTAATTTCTAAACCAATCAATTTAAGCCCCACTTGGGAAAATATTTCATAACCTTTTGTTTTAATAAATAAAGATTAGAAATACCGTTAGATCTCTTTTATTTTATCGTATTGACTTTTTTAAAGTCAACAAATACGCAGATAAAATATTTAGATAGGACAATACCGATAGTACACAGATAGGACAACCCACATAATATACAGATAGGACGGTACAGATAATACACAGAAAATACAACACAGATAATATATTTAGATAGGACAACTAATATAGTACACAGACAATTTATTTAGATAGGACAACAAATATAATACGCAGATAAAATATTTAGATAGGACAATACCGATAGTACACAGATAGGACAACACTGATAGTACACAGATAGGACAGCCCACATAATATAAAGATAGGACGGTACAGATAATACACAGAAAATACAACACAGATAATATATTTAGATAGGACAACACTGATAATACACAGATAGGACAGCCCACATAATATACAGATAGGACAACAAATATATTATGTAAATAAGACAAAATACAGAGATAGGATAACAAATACAATAAACGGATAGAACAACAAAACTGATGGCATAAGTAGGACAACAAATATATGTAGCAAATACCTTACTCCAATAGCTTTTCTTAAGTCTGTACCAATCCAGGTATAACCTTATGTATTCTCAAGTATCTATCAATCCAGATCTGTATTTTTATTATTTATCGTACACATACAACTCGCTCTAATAGTACTCATTGTTCTATAATGATACTTCAGTCTGTTTCTATCCAGATACGACGCTGTTGTATTCTTAATATGTACCACTCAGATACAACTACCTCTCTATAATACTCAGTCTGTATCAATCCAGATACGACGCTGTTGTATATTCTTTAATATTTATCTATCTTTCAAGATACAACTCGAGCTGACTCTCTGCTTCTCACACGAGAATTAATATATGTCTAAACGTAATTAAGTAACGGTTCATGCTAAATTATTGAACTTAATTAAAGTAAATCGTAGTACATGTTAATGAAAAGGATCGATAGGCCTCCTCAGAAATTAACGAGCGTGATAAGGGCACAGACAATGTTATAAATTAATATATATAGGTATGTTCAGCTGGATTCTTTAGATAGTATATAATACTTCTGTAAGCATCTTCTCTTTGTATAGTTCAGTATAAAACAAAAACAAAACAAAAGTTTGCAGATTTCATAATATTTTTTCACGCATTTTCATAATTTTACAAAAATAAAAAACTTTTAAACGCAAATTTTTGAAATTTTTATCATTCATAAACCTTCCCTGGGGTCACGTGAGGTCCCACAGAAAATTTGGGCCCGATCGGTTCAGCCGTTTTGATGTTTATTAGATACAAAGTAACAAACAAACAGACAGACAAGCAAAGTGTATATATAGGTTCAGCCTGTACTACAGAGTACAATTAGTCAACTATCGTACATACGGTGTACAGTGTCTTACTCTTGTCTATGTAATGAACGACTTATACCTACTTACTAGAATTTGCACAAAATGTATATTTTTAGTTTTTTTTTGTAATTTTACTTGTTTTGTTTTTTACCTGGGAGTTGGTTCTTCTGAATAGTAGGAGAAGGTTGGAGTATCTAGATCTGGACTACTAGACCTACTAGATCTTCTACCTATATAGATTTTATATATATATATATATCTAATAGTAGGAGAAGGTTGGAAAATCTAGGTCTGGACTACTAGACCTACTAGATCTTCTACCTATATAGATTTTATATATATATATTTAATATAGGTGAAACGCAGATTATTTTTCTTTTTTAATGCTGTAAAAATTGTTTCGTGTTTTAAACACTCCTTGGCAGCATGAGTTAGGCTATATATACTATATAGTTAGGTATTATATAGTTTTGATTCCAAATCCCCTGAAAATGTTAAAGAAATTCTCTCATTCCTTTTCTTTTTGTATATTTCTTCCTTTTTTCTTCTTTTTTCCTTTCTTCCTTTTCCCTTCTTTTCTTTTTTTTCTTACTTTTTCTCTTTTTCCTTCTAATTCATTTTCTTTTCTTTTTTCCTATTCATTTTTTTTTAAATTTATTCCGCTTCCTCTTTTTTATACTTCTCCCTCTTTTTCCTTTTCTTTCTTTTCTTTCTCTTCTCTCTATTCTTTTTTACTTAATTCTCTATTTTTATTCTTCCTTTTTTTCTGTTCTCCCTTTTTGGTCTTCATCATTTTTAAAATTTTCTCCCTGTTTTTAATTTTTACCTCTTCTTCCCCCTTTCCTTTTATTTCCTGTTTAAAATTTCCTTGGTGTTAGCTTAGAAACTCAGAGTCTGTGGCAAAAATCCCATTCTTTTTCTAGTTTTCTTTTTTAAATTTCCCTTTTTAAATTTGAAATGATATTTTGATATAAAATGTATAAAGCGAAAACAGTAAGTTGAAGTGCACTAACAACTTCCAACAGAATATTTTAAATAAAAAGTTTACTAAAATGAATTTAATATTATCAAAAGAAAATATAAAAGTTAAAAATGAATTTTCAGATGACAGCTTTTAAATCAGTATTTTTTACAGTTTACCAAAAATGCCTTCGATCTTTTATATTTACATTTTAAGATGGTTTTTAGAAAAGAATTGAGTCTCTACCACAAATTCTAATTTTCTGATCTCTTTAATCTTTGCAACCCATGATGTAGTAAACTTTTGATCTCAGGTTTCAAAGATGTAGGAATAACAAAATTTAACTTTATGGCTTTGAAGTTGCCAACGAGTTTGAAAAATTACATGAATTAAGGTATATCGGTATATATAGAAACTACGAAATTGGCTACAAATATTCGAAAAAGAGCAAGCGAATTTATGAAAATATTAAAAGAATTGAAATATCTACCTTCCATTTTGTATTTCCTTATTCTCCAGCCTAGCCTTAAACCTTGATAAAAAATAACTCCGGCATATTCCGTGACCTAAACAATACTGCGGAGCTAACTAGCTTTAGAACTAAACATAAAGTTTTCCCCGCACCAAATCTAAATCTAGGTTCAACCCCTACACTTCATTATTGATCGGAAAACATTCTTCGTCATTCGAGTTTTTACGATTTTTCTTTAATTTGTTTTCGAAATGTAATTTTGTTATTATTCACTTTAACTTCAATAATGTACTGTACCGTTTTGCAGTAAATAGTCTGTATATATATATGTACTGTAGGGAAAACTTTAATTAAATCAAGGTACTAATGCAAGGAAAGTTAATTACGGTCGCGTATACTCTGTGTACATATTGAAACCAGTTCTCTCCGGGCGGAATTTGTAAACAAGAATAGATGCATCAGTGTTCGTTTAGTTTCCGAGGAGGATAAAAGCATTTAATTTTGATAATTCACATAATAGTTTCCTATAACCAGAATATTTCATAGATTATTTTTGTAAAAATGGATCCCATGTCAGGCTGTAACATCCGTCTTGTGTTTACATTACCGCCCATAGACAGTACACTTCAGTGCAAAAAAATGAGTACACCTCTGAAAATACTTCCCTTGCATTAGTTCCTTGAATTAAAGAATCAAGTATAGATCCTCAAATTTAAAAGTGCACTGTACATTTGATATCGAACTAAAGGGTTCAAGATTTACGATACTCTACAGAAAAGTTCTGACCTGCTCAACATCTTGAACTCGGGGCTGGAACCTTTGTCTTAAGAATAGCGAATCAAAAGTGTGTCCATTGGATACTCAGATTAAGTAATTGGGATTAAGGATATCTCATTCTAAAGTTTTCAGATCAGGCCTCATAAACAAACTTTACTTCGTTTTCATAAATATCCAAGAGAACT